CTCTGTGGACGGCTTCGGGGCCAGCGGGGCCCAGGGACGAGGCAGGGGCCAGAGGGCACTCTGGAGGTGGGCCGGGGGTCCCGCCAGTGGGACTGAACCCAGGGCAGCCTCTCCCCAGCCCGGGGCCTGGCTGCTGACGGCAGAACTCTGCAGAGTGAGAGGCGCCAACAAAATCTGTTTCAGTGGCCTCTAGACACCCCAGAAATCTTGAATCACATGTAGGGGGTCGGCCCCTCTTGGGGAGGGAGAAGTGGCAGGTGGGTGGGCGTCCGGGCCAGCGGGACGGGCTCTGGGCCCCGGCCGCCCGGCCCACGCCACAGTCAGACGGAGGGCAGAGGCTGCCAGCGGCGCCCGCGGACACACCGCCTCCCCGGCAGCCTCCCTCCGCGCGGCCCGCGGCGCTGTGGGCACGTGGATGCTGGGGCCGGGGACGCAGGTCGCGGTCCCGGCCCCACAGCGGTCCGGGGCCCCCGCCGTGCCCGGGGCCAGAGGACGGAGACGCCGGGGCAGGTGCCGCGGCGTGGACGGGCCCCGGCGAGGGTCTGGCTCGAGCAGGCTGCTGGCCGCGCTCGTCTGCCCGCAGGACGGGCATCACGGTCTGGAGCCACCCCTGGTGGCGCCCAGGGTGCGGGGACTCCTGGCATGGGGGGGTCAGAGATGCTTCTGAGCACCCCAAGGCCCGACAGCCCCACCAGCCGGCGGCCCAGCCTGGGTGTCCGCGCCCGGGGGGCGGGTGGGCGCCTGGACGCAGCGTCTTGGGGGAGGTGTGGCACCTGGCCCGGGAGCCGGGGAGCAGCGCGGGCAGGGCTGACACCGGCCCGGGCTCACCCAGGGGGGACCCAGGGCTCACCCAGGGGCGCCCCGCGCCCGCCTCCCGTCAGGAGACGCCGCCAACAGCCGGGCCGACCGGGCGCGTCGGGGCTGCTCACCGGGCGCGCCAGCCCGGCCGCCAAGACCCCCCGGCCCCGCCTGGGGCGCCCGCAGCTGTAGCCGCACCCCGTTACAGGGCTCACCGGCCCGCGCCGCCTCAGCCCCGCCCACGCCCACTGGCCACGCCCACTGGCCACGCCCACTATCTAGCCCCGCCCACGCAGCACATCAGCCCCGCCCACCCTGAGCTTTAGCCCCGCCCCATCCTTTAGCCCCGCCCACCGCGTCCTTGAGCCCCGCCCCGTCCCCGAGCCCCGCCCCCGGCCTTCCGCTGGTGGGGGGCGCCCTGGGCAGCGGGAGTGGACGCGGCGCCCCCAGGGCTCCGTGCCTGGAAGGCCCCGCCGGCAGCCTGGGGGGGCGCCCCGCGGCCCTGGGCCCTTCCTGCCCCCCGCGCCTCGGGGCGCGGGTCACGCGGGCCTGGGCGGGGGCGCGGGCCGGGGGCGCTCCAGGGCGCGCCAGCCTCGGGGCGGAGCTGGCCTCCCGGGGCCAGAGGGCCAGGGCCGCCTGCTCCCCGGGCGCGGTGGGGGCCGCGCACCCGCGGCCTCGCTGCCCCCCGGCGCCCGCCTGCCCGCCGGCCCGGGGCGCCCCCCCCAGGGGCCCGCGAGGCGGCCGGCGGGGCCGCGGCCTGCGGGTCCAGCCACGACTCGGGGAGACCGCGCGGCCCCGCGTCCAGCCGCCGCCGCGCCGGGGGCCTCTGCCGGGTCGTTGGCTCCGCAGCCCCAGGCCCGCCCCGCGCCGCTGCGGAGCCGCGTAAAGAAATGGGGTTTAATGTTTTGCTTTTCTTGCCTTTTCTAGAGCCACATCCTCCTCACATCCCCGTGGTTACACCATGGAAGTCACCTGCGAGCAGCCACGCCGCAAAGCCGACCTCCACATTTCCCTCCCGGACGCCGAGCGGGGTCCCCGGGCGCCCCCAGGGACACCCCGAGCTCAGCCTCCCCGCAGGGCGGCGGGCGGGTGGGGGCTGGCCGCTCCCCGAGGCCTCCTGCGCCAGGGCCTGGCCGGAGCCCCTCGGGGGACACGCAGGCCCCTGCCCGGCTGACCCCTCGGCGCGGCTCTCAGCCCAGCCGGGCGCGCGTTGCCGGGGCGGGAGGCACACGCCCCTCCCGGCCGAGACCCCACGGCCGCGCAGGGGAGGGACGCGGGTCCGGAGCGCCGAGTGGCCCGGCAGGCGGCTCTCCCGCCCGCCTCGCCGGACCCCAACGCGACGTGTGAGCAGCGGGAAGTGGCCTTTTCTGATCTCTCCCAGATAGGCGCTAGATTGTGTTTGTCCAGGGCGCCCGCAGCGGCCCACGCTCGCTTAGTGTCCTAATGGATTAAAAACAATTTGCAAGTTGTTTATAATTTCTTCCCATCCTTGGAGCCGAGGCCGGAGATTCAGCTGAAAGACGCAGCTCCCTGTCCAGGGGGTTCGTTGAAAGAAAGAAAATCCCCGTGCAAAGCAGCGCACGAGCCCCGAGCCCCCCGCCCCCCGCTCCTGGTTTGCGCGAAATCAGACTTTCCTCCCACCCCCCACACGCCGGGGCACCTGTTCACCCGCGGGCACTCGGCCGCCCTCCGGCCCCATCAGAGTCGGGGCTCCCCCACGCCTGCCTTCAGCCTCAGCCAGCGCGCCATCAGCCAGCCTGGAAAGCGGCTTTGGGGTGCTGCCCAGCCCTGCCCCGACAGCCGGGCCGCAGCGTCCGGGGCCAGAGGCCTCTGCCCTGAGCGGCTGGGGGGGCCTCTCCAGGCCGCGACAGGGGCGTCCCCAGACCAGGCCAGGAGGTGCAACTTTCTCCTCCTCCCCCGCGTCCCCGTCCACTCCTCCCGCAGCACCCGGCCCGCTGTCCGGGGGCGCACAGGTCGGGGAGGGCCGGCCGGGGAGGGCCAGCGGCCGCTGCCCGGGGCCTCCTGGCCTCTCCCGCAGGAGGCAGGGACAGGCGGTGTCTCTATAGCAACAAAGCTAATTGGCGCCTGCAGGTCGCTCTCCCGCCAGCCGGTGGCGCCCGACCCCTGTGCTGGGAGCCCCCCAGCCCCCTTCTGGGGGGCTCCAGGCGGCGGGCAGCCGGCAGGGAAAGCAGGGCAGGACCAGCCCTGTCCAGCGGCCAGCAGCACTGCCCAGCTGCCGGGGCGCGCGGAAGGAGCCGGCGGGGACGGTGCGGGGCGGCGCCCGCTGTGCCCCTAATGAACACGACACATAGACCTGCCTCACCACACAGCGAGGACGCTGCGGGCACCCCGGCCCTGAGGGCCACAGGAGCCACGCGCCCGCGGGGTGCAGCCGCGCTCCCTGCGGCCGGGGCCGGGGCACGGCAGGGCGGCCCCGCTCGGGTGTGATCTGCTTTATCCTTTCCAGAAGAGCCGTCCGCTTCTCGGGGCGCTGTGCTGAGCTGCGAATCACTATTATGCCTGTTTTGTCTCGGCGACACGTCTTAATTTCTCCAGCGCGTCCCTGGCGTCCTGGGCTTGTCCGGAGACGCCATCTCATTGCCAGTGACTCCTCGTAGCGCCGAGATTTGGCGACCCGGCCGCGGGGCCGCCCCGCCGTCCTGGGGGAGACGCCTGCGCCGCCGGCCGCGTGTGGCAGAAGCGCCGTTTCGGGCGCCGGGGCCTCCTCGCGGCGCCTGGCGTCAGGGGGCCTTGGCTTCCACGTGCGTCCTGTCGGCAGCCGCACCCCACCGACGGGTGCAGGCCGGAGGGGCCGGCTGAAGATCCGGGTGGGGGTGGCCTCGCGGGCAGGGCAGTGGGGGCAGCCTGGGTGTGGGGTGTGAGGTCGCGGGGTGGGGTCAGGACCCAACCACACTCATCCCGTCTCCCCCCACAGGGCTGCCCCCCGTGGGGTCTCGGCACGGCCCCAAGGACCAGGCCAGCAGCAGCCCAGGGCTCGGGGGGCTGCTGTCTCCTCCCTAAGCCCGCTGGGGAGCCCCTCTCGGGGTGCCCAGAAGCCTGTGCACCTCCTCCCTGCAGCTGGAGTTCGGTGCCTTTGACCCTGCCCACGCCGGCCGGGGCTCGCCGGGGACGTCAGCCAAGCCCAGGCCTGGGGCACCCCGCCTGGCGGTGCCCGCCCGCGCCCCGACCCCTGCCCACCCAGGGCCGCCGCCCGAGCCGGCGATTCAGGGGCAGGACCGAGCCGGCCAAGCAGGCGGACGGGCCGCGGGCTTCCCTCCGGGCGGCCGTCCCGGGCCGGGCCCCGTCCCGCTGCGCTGGCCCGAGCAGGGACGCCTGGGCCGGAGCCCGAGGAGGTGCTGGCGAGCCCGGCGCTGGCTGCCTTTGGGGTTGGGGCGGGTGAGGATCCAGGTTCCCCACCTCGCCGGCCGCCCTCCATGACAGGTGCGCCCAGCGCCGGCCCTTCCGCCCGCGGGCTCGGGAAGGGGCCCAGCAGCCGCTGCCAGGAGGCCGGCGGCCGGCCAGCCGGAGCCTGCCAAGGACGCGCCGCTCCCGCCCGCCCAGCCAGCTGCCCGCCGCGCCCGGCGCTGACCGGCGCGCGCCCCAGTCCCGGCTGCGCGGGACCGACCCCCATCGCGGCGCTGCCGGCCCGGGCTCGGCGCACTTGCCCCCGCGCCGGCCTGGTCAGGTCCCCGCGCCGCGGCCACGCCGGAGCCTGTGCCCGGGGCGCCCGCCGGCCCGCCCGGCCCGCGCCAGACCCGGGTCCCGACGCGTCTCCGGCCGCCGCGGCAGGCGGCGCCTCCCGCCCCGGACAGCGGCCGGGGCTCCTCGCGGGCACCAGCCTGGGCGCGGACCCCCCCCCCCGGGGGCCGCCCCGCCCGCCCCGCGCCCCCGGCCCCCCGGCCCCCGCCCCGCGCCCCCGGCCCCCCGGCCCCCGGCCCCCCGGCCCCCGCCCCGCGCCCCGCGGGGGTGTCGCCCCCGGCCCCGGCCCCGGCCCCGGCCCCGGCCCCGGCCCCGGCCCCGCCGCCTCCGGAGCGCGCGGCTCGGCGGGGAGCGGCGGGCGGGCGGGCGGGCGGGCCGGGCCGGCCATTCCGCGCAGGGACGCGCCGCCACCGGGCCTGGCGCGGGCGGCGGGCCGGGCCGGGCCGGGCCGGGCCGGGCCGGGGCCCCCGCGGCGGCCCGCCCCCGCCGCGCCCCGCACTCACCGCAGTAGGCGACGAGCAGCCCGGCCAGGATCACGAGCGCCCAGAAAGTTGAGGACAGGCCGGGCCGCGCGGGCGCATCCTGCCGGCGGCCGGAGCGCGGCGATGGCGCCATGGAGCCGGCCCGGCGGGGCAGCGTCTCAGCGGCCGGCCCTGCCCGCGCCCCCGCGCCGGCCTCCACGTGCGGGCCCCGCGCGCGCCATCCCCGCCGCCGCCGCCCGCCCGCGCCGCCGCCCGCCCGCCGCCCGCGCCCCCGCGCCGCCCGCGCCCCCGCGCCCGGGGGAGGCGGCCGCGGCCCCGGCGCCGGCTGCGCGCGCCCGCCCGCCCAGGCGAGCACGCGCCCGGCGCGCGCCCGGCGCCGCGGGGCCCCGCCGGCCGGGGACGGGCCAGGGCCGGGAGGGCGAGGGGCGCCGGCGCGCGGCCTCTGGGGGGCGGCAGCGGCCCCCGCGGGGCGGCCCGGCCGGCCGGCCGGCGGGAAGTTGGCGGCCAGCGCCCGGCTGCCCGCGGGGCCCGAGGGCCGGGGGCCCGCGCAGGACCCGGGGGCTGTCCCGGGCAGCCCCGGCCCGCCGCGGCCTGCCCGCTCCAGCCCCCCCCCCCCCGCGCCGGGGCGCGCTCGGCCTCGCCCGCAAACCCGGGCCTCGGGGCTGCAGCGGGAGGGAGGCGGCCGAGGGCGCCCCCGCCCCCCCAGAGGGCGGTGCGGGCGCCGGCTCGCTGCCCACCTCGCGGCCTGGCCCCGCCGCGGACCCGGCATGGGGGGCCGAGGCCCAGCGGTCTTGGGGTCCCGGGGACCCCTTCCAAGGAGGCGCTAGAGGGCCCGGCGCTGGCCTGACGGCCGGACGGACGGGGAGATGCACGCACACACATGCACACACCCGCACACATGCACGCCATGCACGCCACAGTCTAGATACACGCATGCAAGCAACACAGGTGCGCACGCCCACACACGCATGCACACGCCCACACTCGCACGCACCCATACTGTCCACACACACGCACGCCATGTCCTCATGCATCCGCACACAGCACGCACAACACACTACACGCGCGTGGTAACCACACATGTGTCCGCACACAGCACGCACAACACACTACACGCGCGTGGTAACCACACATGTGTGCAGCACTCTGCCCTGCCCGTGCACGGCCCTGTTGCACGCCAGGCAAGCCCGCCTCTGCACGCAGCACACAGTCCCCGCAGGGGAAGCCCAGGCTGGGGCGCAGGGGCCTCCCGCCCGCGGCGCTGCCTGTGTCCAGCCCGATGTTTCCTCAATGCCTGTGAACCCCAGGCCCTTCTTCCTTCTTCCCAGCGGTGGCCCCTGTCCCAGGCTGGCAGGGGTGGCGAGGCCTGGGGGCGCAGGAGCAGGGCCTCTCCGAGGGGGGCCTCGCAGCCTCCCCCGCGCCGGCCCTCCGCCTTCCCGCGCCCTCCGCTTTGGCTGTGGCTGTCGCGACCCTCCTGGTGCCCGCAGAGGCGGCCCTTCCTCCGGCCCCGCCGGGTCCTGCCGCGCGGCACGTTCCTCCTGCGGCTTTTACTGAGCACCTACTAGATGCCCAGGCGGGAGGAGGGGGCACAGATGCGTCCTGCCCCCCGAGACCAGGGTGCGGGGGCCCGGGGACCGGGGCTGGGGGGCTCCCGGGAGAGAGGCTCCCCGGCCCGCTCGGTGTCATCCACAGGACACGCAGGCGCGGCGCAGACAGCCCCGAGCGCCCGAGCACCCCAGTCCTCTCCTCCAGCAGCTCCCCCTGAGAACGCCGCTTGCCCACCCGGTCGTTCTGTGGACGGGAAGTTCCTTTGTCTGAAACCGCCGCTCCAGAGGAAGCGCTGCGCCCGCGGGGGCTGGGGCTGCTGCCCTTCTCGGAGCACCTGAGGGCGGCCGGGTGCCCCGCGCACAGGGCTGCTACGGGGCCGCTTCCTCTCGGGGCAGAGCTGCCGCTCAGGGCGTGACGTGTCCGGGAGGACTCAGGGATGCGTGATAGGGCGGGGAGCTGACCGCCCGTCATCCCGGGGCGCCCGGGCTGGGCTCTGAACCCGGGGCGGGAGGGTGTGCGGGCAGGCGGCGGGGAGGAGGCCGGGCTCCGGCCAGGTGAGTCCAGCCTCAGGCCAGGACTCTGGCGGGCCAGAGCAGGCCTCCCGGGGCCCCCAGACTGCTGTGGGGCTCTGGGCGCCGAGACTGAGTGCTGGGCCTCACACGGCCCAGCCGGGGTCGGCAGGAGGCGCGCGAGGCCGGCCCAGCACCGCCTCTGGCCATGAGCGGAGCCCGGCGGGGCTCGCAGGGGCTCGGGCTGCGGCGGCTCCCGCTGGGGAAAGACGCCGGTGCCTGGAGCCGGGTGGCGGAGCACCTCACCGGTGCGGCTGGAGGAGCGAAGGAGGCGCAGGAGAAGGTCGGGGCCCCCGCGGGCTCAGCCCGACCCGCCCGGAGAGCAGGTGCAGCCCGGCGGCCCCGCCCCCGCCGCTCGGGCCGGGAGACACCAGGATGGAAACTGAGGGCGAGCAGAGCCCCAGCGCTGTTGCTAGGGAACAGGAAGCTCAGCTCCGCGCCCCACGCACGCCGCGGAGTGACAACTTATTGTTGTTGATTGGCTGGTTTTGATTACTCGCCAGGACCGACAGCAGCTCCATTCGGAGCCTCCGGTGAGTCCCGGAGGAGCCGCCTCCTCCCTGGCCAGCCTGGGGAGGCCGCGGGCGCCCGCGGGGAGGGGCCGGGTCTGGCGTGGCCGCAGAGGCCCGGCTTGCGGGGGGCCTGCCTCGTGGGCTGCCCAGGTGCCGCGGGGTGGGCGGCCACGGAGGAGGTGAGGTGCGAGAGGGCGCTTGGCCAGGGAGCACCCCCAGTCTGGGCACACGCGGGTTCCCTTTCCCTGCTCTGCTTTCACGGAGGGGACTGTGGGTTGTGCCTCTCCCCATCTCTGCTCCCCCCGTGGAGCGGCCACGTCACCCCTTACTGCGGCTGCCGGCGGACCAGGGCTCCGGGGACCCCGAGGCCTGTGTGGATGTTCCCACTGGGTGGGATGGTGGGGTGTCCCGCTGGAGCAACAGGGAGAGGCCCTTCGGTGGAGAGGCAGCCCTGTGCCGTAGGAAGAGGCGGTTCTCCCCGCAGTGGGCGGCTAAAGGGGTGGACTGTGGCGGGTCCAGTCTCCGCCTCCTTCTGGAAACAAGGCAGGCGCCCTGCAGGCCTCCTGGCCCGGCGGTGAGAGGGGCAGCCGTGGGCAGCAGGTGTGGGCGGGTGCTGCATCCCTCAGGGGCCACTGGGAGCCCCCGGGGGTGCTGAAGCCCTGAGAAGTGACCAGCCCAGGGACCAAGACCCTGGAGGCCGTGGGAGATGCCTGGGGTGTGTCTGGGCTCGGCTGAGACGGGAGGATGGACTGAGGCCTGTTGAGACGGGCTCTGGGCAGACGCCGGGACGGGCACACACCCAGCGCCAGGCCTCTGCGGGGAGGGGCCGCAGGAGAGGGGAGCAGCGGGCCAGGGGACACGCTGCGGCTGGTGTGATTTGGAGGCACAGCCCATTAGCCGCGGGCAGAGCAGCTCCGTGGGGTCCCAGCACTGGGACGGGGCGCGCAGGCGCTGGAAACAGACCCCGCGACTCGTTCTCAAGCTGTGTCTGAAAGGCCTGGCGGGACCCAGAGTCACTAGCGTGAAAAGGCATCTGGGGGACGCCCGCCCGGGGGCGCGAGGAGGAGCCCGCCCGGGCGAGAGTGAGCCCTGCTGAGCCGTCAGAAAACAGCTGCTGCTCGTTACCTGCGCGCCCGGTGCCCTCTGAAACCCGCCTCCCCCGGCCAAGCGCGCGGCTGCCCCGACCCCCACCTGCGGGCCCTGGGGTTCGCCGGGAGCGCCGCCAAGCCCCCCTTAAACTCCCTCTGTCGTCCTGCCTCGCCCTCCTGCCCTCCCCTGCCGACCTCCCCGAGTCCGTCTCATCCGACGTCCTCGCAGCAGCAGGATCCGCACCCGCCGCGCCGCCCGCGGGCCTCCCCCGTCCCGGGCACCTGAGGTCCGGCGGCACCGAGGCCAGGTGGGGGTGCGCCGGGTGAGGGGCGGGCGCGGCTCCCGGGCAGGCTCTCTCTGAGTTGCGGGACTTCCCGGCCAGGGAAGGCGGCCTTCCTCGCTGGCGACCTCGTCTCCCGCCCCGCGGTCTGCAGAGGGCGCAGCCTCCCCCGCGGGGCGCGCCTTTAATTTTTCGGCCGTCGAGGCTATTTCCAGTGTGTTTCTCTCCTGGACATCAGCAATGGCCACGGGTCGCTCTAAGTCTTTCCCATGAAACCATCATTTACAGAAAAAAACAGTAGAACTGGCTCTGTCAGCAGAGGACAGATGTGAGGGCCTGGCCCTGTCTCCCCGCGATGTCCTGTTGAGTCACACACGTGGGCAGTGCCCCGGCCAAGGGGGGCGCAGGGGGAGGCCCGGGGAGGCCCGGGGAGGCTCCCCCGCGGGGTGGTCTGCCGCGGGTAGCCGTGTTCACGCAGCTGGCACCTGCCACCTCCCACGTCAGCTCCTCGTCTTCCTTCCCAGGTCTCTCCTGGGTGCTTGTCTTGTATTATTGATCAGTAAGGAATATTTTTGGAAATAATTTCCTGGAATTTAGAAAATGCAGAAAGGCACCATAAGAGAACAACAGGTGTCAACAATCCCCCCATATGTTGTGGACCGTTTCCCTCCCTTCCTGGATGAGGTGTCGTCTGGCAGCTTTTCCTTCCTGGGGTGGGAGAGGTGAGCCCCCCGAGGGGCGACAGCCGGGGTTCCCCAAAGTAACAGAACCCATGGGGAGGAGGGACGGGGAGGCAGGGGAGGGAGGTTGGGGGCAGGAAGGGAGACGTGGCGTGGGATTTGGGGACTGGCGAGTCCAGTTTGCAGGGAGGAAAGCGCCGATGTTGCACCCGGCGCTCAAAGGCGCCTGGAAGAAGAACACCCCCCTCAGGGGACTCTGGCTCCGCTTAAGACCCTTGGCCGACTGCACACGGCCCACCCACGTCGAGGAGGGTCACCGGCTTTACTCAGAGTTCACGGATTTAAATATTAATCACGTGCAGCGCCACCTTCCTGCAACAGCTGCCCCTGGGCCAGGCAACGGCAGGGCACTGAGGCCCAGGCAAACCCTCACATAGAATCACCGGCCGGGGAGA